AACAGAGTTAATGGGTTGCATAAGCTTGAGGAATTCCGGTTCCAGGCATTCAAGAGTGCTAGACTATATAAATAAAGGATGAAACTGATGCATGACAAGCACATCTTGAATCAGAACTTCAAACTCGGAGAATTAGTGTTGCTATATAATTCAAGATTGAGGTTGTTCCGGGGTAAGTTGAAGTCCCAATGGTCAGGAAGGTTCAGAGCGGTGCAAATGTTCCCAAGTGGAGCTGTGGAGATCGAATCTGAAGATGGGACGAACAAATTCACAGTGAATGGGCAGAGGTTGAAATATTACCTTAGAATGACTGAAGAAAAAGGGGACAGCGTGGTGATAACGTTGGAGGAGCCCCAATACACAAATGAGGAGTGATGACATGAGCCTGCATCGTGCCGCGACGTTAAATCAGGCGCTGTATGGGAGGCAACCCATTGACTTGTTGTAATTGTCGTGTCGCGACGTTAAATTAGGCGATTGTTAGGAGGCAACCCAATTTTTAACCTCACTAACCCATAATTGTAGTTTAGGATTATTAAAATTTAGGAGTTGTGAGACTTAATTGGGCAGGTACAAGCATGAATTGGACATAAAATAAGTACAGAATAGAGTCGGGGTGCAACCCGTAAGTTAAATGTCGAAAATAAAGTGAACTTTATGAAAAATGGCCTAACGCGCTGCATGGGGAGCCGCGCCAAGCCAGGCCAAACGAGTCTGACAAACAAAAGTGCAAGGTCTATGGTAATTCACACTACCGCGCCGCATAGGGTGCCGCACCCTGCGACGCGGCAGTGTATAATTTATAAAAGGCGAAATGGCTTCATGGTCACTTAAACTTGTATTGGATTTTAAAGCCGATATATAAACTTTTGATTTTCCCATTTTAGCACCTCAACTCAACCAATTGAGTATAAATAAACCCCTTCGTCAGAGCGTGTAGCTCAATTGCCTGACAGGAATAACACGTCAAATTTTAAGACTATTTATTATTTTACATGTGTCATTTGTGGGTCCCTTTTCCTTAAACTAATTAATCAAAAATTCTTGCTTATTTTACTTCTTTCACTGTTTCTTCTACAACTTTTAGCGCTGCAGTCCGAGATAAAAATCTCAGCCATAACCTGACCACATGCCTCAATCACCCATGAACTTCCATAAAATCAATTCCATCTTTCACTTTTAATAAAATCCATAGAATTCATACCCCAAGTCATAGAGCCGATGATGCACCTGTTAAAATTCTGTCAAGGCATCAAGAGAGCCGGCGAGGCTATGTCCAAAAAGGACATTAATGGTGAAATCAGAAAGAGAGAAGAAGTCGTACTCCGTAAGTGGGATTTTCCGGCTAAAACTCGACAATTTTCCAATGGTCTTTCTCTTTTCTCTATCTATCTTCTAGTCTGAGATGGATACAAAAAAGAGAGATGGAGTTAATGTGGGAGAAAGGATTGACAGATTTTTTTTTGACAAAATTCATTGCTTTTTTTTGTTTTTCACTACGCTGGGTTTGAAACAAAAAAAGGAAGAGGCGGAGAAAGATTGGAGTGGGGGAGAAAGAAAAGAAGGGGAAGATGTAGTGCAGACGACAATGGGAAAGGGGAAAAGAAGCAGGAAGAGGTTAGGGGAATAATGGTATTACTGATTTGGGGTGAGGGCTTATTTTCTTTCTTTTTCATTTGTAATTATTTTTTTATATTTTAGATTTTTTAAAATCAAAATAATTGTATTCACGCGTCTAATTTACGTGACTTGCACACTCTTTGTCCACATCACCTTTGCCACTGCCACATGTGCATGGTCAACGGTCAAATAGGTTTATTAGTTACCAAATACGTGAGTTTGAGTGTTCAAATGAGAACGGTTTAAGTTTGTGTGTCGGCTTTACAAATGAGAGCAAGTTTAAGTGGCCAGAAGGCCATTTCGCCTTTATAAAAAAAATTAAATTCTTTTAACACTCACCCATTCAGCACCCCCGACTGCTTTTTCTCTTTTCTCTCTAAGACCAAACGTCCAGCCCTTCCCCCACTTACCCCAATCTCTTTTTTTCTCAAATTCCCTTCCCACACACACCTCCCATCCCTTCCATTCATCCTCAAGGTATAATGTCTCGCCACCTGAGCAAACACTCTAACACTAGTTCTTCTGAGGTTGCTTCTAGTAGCCATCGTGGTGGGAAACAGGCACCCCTCCCCCCCNACGGGTTGTCCCTGCCCATGCTCGACACTGGTTTCAGACATTTGTCCCATCGGTGAACCCGGACCCTGAGGTTGTTATTGACGATTGAAGTTGGCCCGCAAATATGGTGAAATTTACAACAACATTCGGGCATTGGGTTTCGACAGTTTGTTCCGTCCGGTGAATGTGAACCTAGACAAAGAGTTTTATGCTAACTAGCAACCTGAAGCCAGCCTGGATGTAGTTTACGAAGTGCAGCTAAGGGGTAAAGTGATTTCATTCTCCTCCCGGGTGATCAATCGGATTATGGGATTCACAGAGCATTCCCACACGCTCTTTCAGAGGTTTCTCTGTCAGCCAGACTATCCGGCTATCCACCGACTGTTATGTGCGCTGACTCTTCTGCCACATGGAAACGGGATGCGAATGAATTCCACAAGGACATGAAGAAGACAACATTCTAGTGGCCAGCCAGGGTTGTTTTGCGGATGATTAACGCCAAGATCACGCCAACTCAAAGTGACATTGATGTCTCCCGACTGAAAGTGTGTTTGATCTATGCCCTATTGACTCATATGCGATTCAATCTTGGTAAAATCATGCTTGAGCATATGGCTAAAGTGCGACCACTTGGGGCTCACCGTCTACATTACCCGAGTATGATCACTTGATTGTTGCGAGCACACCTTGTAGAGGAGGAGTACCACTATGACAAGACTATTCCAGTGTCTTGCCCTATTAGGGCCTATGATGTTACGTCGGTGATAGACCCCCTGCTACTGCTGTTAATTCGGACTAGCGGATGGTCCGCGTTGAGGAAACACTACAGCTACTGTTTGCTGACTTGCACCTTTGTGCTACTTGAGGGGAGGCCGACTTGGAGGAGTTACAGCAAGATTACCCCCTTTCTACTATCACTCAGCAGTGGTTGGGGTTCGCAAGAGGAGGACAACTGCCACCGGATGAGGATGTGAACTCCATTCCCTCCGATTATGAGGAGTATTTGCGCACCTTCGAGGGTGCTGATGATTAGGCCTTAGGCCTTAGGGAGTCACCTTTTCACTCTTGATTTTACTATTTTGCATTGAGGACATCTTAAGTGTGGGGTGGGGTGCTCTTATTTGATTGTATTTGTACTTTTTTTTTCATTTGCTAGTTGGTTTTGTTTGATTTGTTTCTTGCTTTCTTAGACAATTGGTCTGTAAACTATAATTCTGAAATCTATCGGGCCTGTAATAGTTAGTAATTAAGTATGTAGTTCGACTCTTCCCGACGATGGATTTCGTCGACTGGTTTCTTGAGGGAAATGAGTCGAAAGAAAGAAAAAAAAATTCATATATGTGAAAATCCAAAAAAATATATCTTTTATTTTAGTTTTTGTTTAGGTAGTGTAACAATTTTCCCTTGATTTTTCTTTGTGCCACGGTTCTTTTTCAAGGGTTTTGCTTGAACCGGGTGTAGTTAATTCTTTTTATTTTTTTAGGAATTAAGAATCTTTAGTTAGGAAGCTAAGTTTAAGGATCAATTTCCCTTGATTGCATATGCCTTGAGAGTGGTAAGGGCCTTAGTTGTGACACCTAGGCTCAATTCTTGACTTTTAAATAAGTGCCCTAAATTGTGTGATTAAAACTATGCTTAACTGCTTTGACTAGAATGTCTTGATTAGTCCAATCCTGAGTGAGTTATGTGCCATGTGTGTTTAAGATTTTGTGTTATTCTGTGTGTGGCATTTGATGCCCAGAACTTGCCCCGTGTGTTTGCAAAGCGAAATAGTAGTTTTGTTCAGTCTTGGATGTGATATAGACATTTCATCTACATTTTTTACAGAGCCAAGTCCTATTTCGCGCAGGAAAGGGTGTTTCGTTTGGGCCCGACCCTACTTGGTATAAATACATATAAAAACATTATTTTGAGGGCTTTTGACATATCTTAGACATGGGGAGACTATTTCGGAAGGGAGAAAATGTTTGGAGCAATTTCCGGAGGAGATTAGCATCGAATTCTTCATTCCTTCATCTTTTCTTTGTAATTTAATTATGCAAATTATTTGGGAAATTGTTACTATGAGTATGAGTAGCTAAATTCCTAATCTAGGGTTGATGGAACCAATTGTTAGATGAAGTTTTGACTCAGTTTTGTTATAATCGAGCCGGGTTTATTATATGATTGTTCAACTATGTTTTGTATGGTGATTAATTGAATGGGCCCTTGATTAATCGTGTCTAATCGCCTTGTGTTGCTTGAGAAAGAATACTATGTTAGATTGTTGTTGAACAACACCACTTTTGGGTAATTGAAGAGATTCATTGCTTGAATTTAAAAGTGGGATTAGAAATAACGAAACTTTGGCGGGATAATTTAGAGCTGCATAAATTATCAGCTATAGTAGTTTGAGAGAATGCTCTAGTAAATTATCGAAGTTGATCGAGAGATAATTACTATAACCCATAGCTCATAATCCTCATAGAATATTACGGCGAGACTAGCAAAAGAGTTAAGAATTAATCTAGCAATTGGGGAAATCAATACCCTAGATCTTTTCTACCATTGAATTATCTTTAATTTGGAATATTGTTAGTTTTAATATCATTTTCCTTTAGTTAAACAAATCCCAATATTTATTGATAAAAATCTTGCATCCGGGAATTGTTTGAGCTTTTACTAGCATCACTAAGAATTGTAATAGATAAGTTAGTTCCCTGGGAATTCAACTCCGGACTTGTAAACTGGATTATATTTGCAGCGACCGCTTATCCTTTTTAGGACTAGAGTTGGGCGTGATCACATGGTCATCTTTGAATAAAGCAGGAAATAGCACAAAGATAGAACCATGATGACACCTCTCACCCTCTAATACAATACAAAGAAGTGGCTAATACAAGGACCGTGTTACATTATTTAACATAAAATGCCCGGGAAAGTTCAATCATCATAGGAATTGTTGAGCATGGCATCACGAGAACACAATGATGGAAGGATCCAATTGAAGAAGCCTACTCTAGTTTCTCCCCTCGATCTCTGAGATGAGTATTCCACCAACACATTCCAAAGCTCCCCTACAGTCCACTGATGTGAAACAATCCATTGAGTCACCTAGACCAGGTTTTCGACGAAGAAATGTCACACGGATATAAGCTTCCAAGACTTGCAGGTTTGAGTTGTATGTTTTGGATAAATGCAAATGGATTCTATGCATGAGCAGGAGATGTTTCCGCTCTGTAATAATAAACTAGAGTCCTGAAGCCAGGATAAGATAGCTTTTCATGGAAACCAAACTGAAGTTAATTAATGGTAAATTTTAACAACAATCCATGCATTTACCAATTCCGTTCAACAGAGTGAATTTTTACCCTTCAGAAATGTCGTTAATGCCAAAATTTCCCCTCACAACCAAAAATGATTATAAAAAGGTCAGTAGGGAAAGGTGAAAGCATGAAAACGGTGACAAAAAATAAAGGGAAAGAATACATGAGTTGATCAAAAAGCTCTAGGAGAAATTCAAAAGTACCCAAGTTAACGTAGCAACGAAAAGTGGCACCCTCTTTTCTCTTTTCCCTTTTAGTGATTCATGTCAGCAAGCTTTCAGATTTCTTAGATAATAAACATTCTGCTTTAATCCTCAAGAGCAAACCAAATACATTTACTTTCAGACACACTAACAAATATAAGGATCTTGCAGAATAATTAACAGATGACAGTACCTGGTCCAGCATCTGCAATGCTTCCAGACCAAATGTGCAATACAAGATGAAAGGTCTCAATGCCTGTAAGAGATGCAAGGAGACAATTTTATTTCTTTTTATGAAAAAGGAAGATAAGACAGAGAAAAGAAGATGCTCAAAGTGAAAAGAACAAGAGAAAGCAGTTTTAAAGGGGAAAATTGCATATCATATCCAAAAGAAGATTATTTGAATTTTAACATCTTACCACCTCCGAAAACAATAAAACATAGACCATTACAAGTATCAAGAATCCAAAGATTATTCAACTCCAGTTAACAACTACGATGCATACTAAAAGGGGGAGAGAAAGAGAATGCGCCCAAACATTGAAAAGAAAGCACCAGATACATTCATCCCATAAGCCAATAATTCCCATATAAAAATGCAGACAAATGTCCAAGGAGAAAGAACAACCTGAGATGCAGCAATCCATTGAAGCATAGCTTTAAGTTGAGGATCTCCCCCAAAAGCACCGCAACCCCAATTACCAGTCACAACCCCAATTTCATGCTGATTGTCTAAAGGTTGATGACTGTGTCCCTCACGTCTGATTAACTGGTTTTCCGATGTTTCCTCAGTTTCTTGAGATGAAGTTGAAGTATGACCAAGAGACTATTGGAGACAAGATCATGAAGAGAAAAAAAAGAGCACGTCAAATAAAGAAAAGCTAATTGAGATACCTATAGAGATATAGGAAAGGGGAGAAAAGGAAATAATAAAAGGAGGGAGATTTAACAACTTGACAAACTGGATATCCCACCAGAAGATTAACAATGGACCTTCCACCGGAGTCTTTAACATTTTGATCATGTTGAAGTCCCAGGAGGCCATCATCTTTGAGAAACTGTTGATACTGATGACACTTGAATTGATCCATGAAGCCGCAAAATGCTTTGTTAATCTCCCTGCACAATACATTCAACTTATCATCAATCAAGCATACAACAACTAAATACTAATCCTTTGTAAATATGGGAAAGGTTTAGATTCCCTTTAATTAGGAGTAGGAATTACCTTCTTTTTCTTTTTTGGATAGCTTGTAAACCCTTTTTAAATCCTATTTAAACCCCAACATGCTTAGGGAATAATCAAGCAATTCTATTCTCAGAGTATCTAATTTTACTTCTTCTCTTCTACACACTTCCTGAATGTCCGCATTGTTATAATCAGCCAGTGTACATCAACTTCGAACATAAGCTCATCGACTTATGTTTCGCTCTCCTATTTGATCATGCCAACCTCTAAACAAATTCCTTAACAGACAAATTAGAACCTAATTGTACCTAAAGGATAACCTAATACTTACAGGGTTCCGTGTCATATGTTTAAGGACCCAACAGACATCATAAAAGAATTATACTCCATATACGCATCTCCAAAGAATAAGGAAAATTTCTGTACCTTAGAAGGCATTCAGGTCTGTACTGGCTCTTTCCCGGGCTGCAGAGTGCATCTATTGCAACTATCCTAGTCTTACGCCTTCCAAGAACATCCATATCTTTTTTGTCCACATAGTCACCATTAAACCGGAATGAAGAGGCATACCTTCACCAATTAAAGATGTGAAATAATTAGTGGAATTACAGTTAAACGTCCAAAATGACAGCAAAAGATTGCCAGCTATAACTTGAAAACCTTCCAAGTACGCAATTGATTGTCTATCTAAACTTACCCGGTATAACTTGAAAACCTTTCCGTACCAACAATTTCTACTGCTTCATTGTCTGTCATGCACGGCAGGAAAAGCATGCCAGCGATCAACTCCGGATTGATCATAAACCGAATTTCTTCCTAAACAGAAAACTACCTATTAGATATGGTGAGTTCACCTATAGGAACTAGACGAAAATCTCCAACTTCAAAGGCAAAAGGTGTGATGCATTGTGACAAATGAGGGACAAAAGCAACTCGTTTGATGAATTACTTTTGGAAAATTATTAATATTGGATAATAATGGTTTACCGTTGGATACAGAAATATGAAAAAGAAAAAAAAATGTCCAGGAAAGAACCTGCACACAGCCCCTAACGAGAGCGCCACCTCCTAAATACATGTTAGCAAAATCAACTTCAATAGCTTCACGTGATTGATCTTCAATTAAGCCTGAAACGGTAATCTAGAAAGAAACAGAAAGATATCAGAAGTGTGAAAAAAGTGAAACTTATAATCACCGGACGAGAATATGGTTTCACTTCTTACCACAATATGGCAAAGGGAAATGTTGGACTGGCTCCAATTTTTTTCTTTTGGATAGGGAATACAAGATGGAGTACATTCAAGAGAAAGCACTTTGCGCTCAAAAGACACATAGCCCAGGGGCATAGATGAACATATCCTCCCAAAATAGTGAACAATGCACTTCAATTTATTTTCAACTTCTTCATAATGATCATGTAGACACCTGAAAAACATGTACGCCAGCACATGAACTCCGTAAATTCGAAAAGAGAATCTGAGATATTTGAAGAAGATAGTTTAACTATGAAAGAGCACAAAATAATAGATCTAGGTGTACTACATCCATTAGAAGTGAAGGATTGATTAGACCTTAGTTGGAGAAGTGATTCATTTTCAGATTACAACTCCTCATATTGAGATATTTGGAAGTTGAGAGTAGATTGTTTCAGCTAAAACTATTGTCTACAAGATATTTAGATTTTAACATCAGAGGGACTTGCAGATAAAATAAGAAACAATTCATGAAGATGACCAAAGAAAATAACAAATAGAGGAGTTCATGATAATTAATCTAGCGCGGAGCACCTACAACTTTTACACTGATTACAATCAACGATTCTTTTAATCAGTTAAGATACAACTGGGCATAGATGCAACAATAATAAGAGACAGTTGATGAAACATACGCAAATAAGTGATCAAAGTTGATCATTGGGAGACGTTTGGCACCTCTATTGTTGGTAGGAAATAGACAAAACAACGCGCATGCAAGGAGAGCGCCAATTAATTCCTGGAAAATACATTCAAAATCATGATCATCCAAACTACATATAATTGTCACAACATTGAATAATCAAATTCTACTGCAGAAACCACAACCTGACTAAGGAAGATAATGCCAGACTCTTGTGATTCCAACAACCGAAGACCGGTTTTCACTCCTCTCAAAACTCCACCATCAGCACTCTCATAGTGAGTTTCTAATAATGAAGGCAATTTCAAAAGCAAAGTAGCCAAGTACGGAACCACCACTCGGAACCATTTTGCAGCTGCAGCCCTCGGAAGCAACTGCATAAACAATCCAGCATTTTGAAGACAACTAAATCAGTTACAATAACATCAGATAATTCTCCAATATATTTTTACCGAGATAACAACACTTTTGGTCCCTCAGTTATTAGTAAATTTTATCTTTTGCCATTGTGATATATGACTAAGTACATTTAACCTTCAATTAATTAAAATACGCATTTTTATCCCTTTATATAAGTAATATGCTAAATTTAGATTATTTTTGGAAGTATATTATCCTCAAATACGGAGTAACAACGTAACTCATGAGTAATTTTCTTTTTTAAAATCATGAACTATATTATCCTTAAATATAGAGTAACAGTATAAACTTAATATAATACATGAGTAATTTTCTTTTTTTAAAATCATGGTGTCCAGGCCCGCTTGTGTGCACCTCGACTCCACAGGGTACGTGCTACCTCCCACGAGCTCAGGTACTAGATAACTCTGTCTACCAATGTCTAACAAGGCTTGTACAGATGAGAAAAAATCACCTAGTATTTTCGCCTCTAGGATTTGAACCTAAGACCTCATGGTTCTCGACTCGCTTCACTGACCACTAGGACACAATCGTAGGCACAAATGCATGGGTAGTTAATGGTATGTAATTCATTAAATTTGTGAAGATTATCAAAATTGTTTATTTCAAAATTGAAGTTAAATGTGTTTATCCAAATATTACAAGAACCAAGTTTTAAATTTTGTCAATTTTTTTAGAGACTAAAAATGCAAATTTCCCCTTTTTCATTAAAGACGATAATTTTAAGTTATATGCACTGTTGGATCTAAACAATATTTTGCACTATGAGGCCACCTAATGGATATCTACAACAAAGCCTCCCTAAAAATGTGAGAATTGTAATCTTGAATATAAGAACAACAGGTAAAGGTAAAGGGTGACTGGTATGATGTATATAACTTAAACTCATAATTTATAGTATTATGTGAATGGAGAGGGAAGCGAAAAGAAGTTTACATCGTCAAGGAAGAGGGCAAAACCGTGAGAAGCAGAATAAGCAATGGAAGAATTGGGGAGGGAGAGAGAGCTTCGAATATCGGAAATGGCGATGAAAAGGACTTCGCCTGAGTCAACATTGCTGTGAAGAGGGCCTTGTGAGAGGGAATTGAGGGCTTCAACTACTGAAGGTGGCCAAACAAGTGAAGATGATCGGAGTTTAAGTGGCAAAAAGGGGAGGATTGACTTCAAGTCTTCTCTCTTCTCCATTAGAAGAAAACCTTTTTCCTCTGCTCCTCCTAGACAGTTCGCCCAATGCAAACACGCTTTCATTTCCTATTCCTTTTACTTTTTAACACTTGCTTAAATACTCATTGAATTATTGGAAATTACTATTTTTTATCAAAATATAACTTCTCTTTTTTTTTGTTTCAAACGGTCGCTCAAACCGGAAAATAATATATTCACAATTTTATCGATACTAGCACGTTTATATTTAGTCAATTATTTTGACGAAAAATTATTTTATAGAAATTGATATTCATACTTTTTACATAGATGCTCAATCAAGTATTTATTAAAATTAAGGAACCAAAAATTTAATTTACGGAAAAGGGCCCTCTACTATCTAAAATAAGTCATATATGGCCCCCGTTATACTATTTAATTAAAAAAGTCCTTACCGTTTGGGACCAGAAATTAAAATGTCCCTCCACCGTCTACTCCGCTAAATAAAATTAAAATATCCACTTGGCAGTCTTTGATTGGACGATTGAAACCCATCCCTATTTTTTAATTAACCCACGACCCGGTTCATTTTATCCGACCCACCCGTAAATCACTTAAAGAACACCCAAAACATATCGGTCCTCTCATTCAAGAACAAAAGCACGAGACCAAATGTTAGAGTTCTTCAACAAAGCCTTCTCTTAGTCGATGCTGCCGATTAAAGAATCAATTTTCTGAAAAGGTATGTTTAATCCGCGTAATATTACTTATTTATCTCTCCTCTATCTGTATTTATCTTAGTTTATTATTAGGGTTTTATGCTCAAATCGTTTTGGGGCTTTAATATGTTTTGTTTTCTTATGTCTTGGTTTAAGATGTTATTTTCTGACCTTTTTGTCTTATTTTCTTGTGTGGAATGTCATTGCATGTGTTTTGTTTTAGTCTTTTATGAATTTTGTAAGCATTAAAGTTGGTGAGATATGATAATGTGGGGTTTCATTTGTTCCTTTTAGTCATTCTCTTGTCTGGCATATGTCTGTGTTGGGTGTGTTGAATGTTGTTCCCTCACAACTAAAATCTGTGAATATTTTAGTACTAGTGGGTCTTTACTACTTGAATTATTTGTGGTCCCCTAGTTGTTACATGTTATTTGTGTTCCCCTAAATCCATACATGATTTATAATTCTGTTTTGTTTAATTGCTTAGTTATTGTTCTTTATTAGTATTGTTTATGTTATTTATATTTTTGTTGAGGTAGTTTCAAGTACCTTGGATCGGTTATTCAGGGGATCGGGGAGATTGACGAGGATGTCACACACCGTATAGGGTGGGGTGGATGAAGTGGAGGTTAGCGTCGGGAGTCTTGTGTGACAAGAAAGTGCCACCGTTACTAAAAGGTAAGTTTTATAGAGCAGTGGTTAGGCCTGCCATGTTATATGGAACTGAAGGTTGGCCGATAAAGAACTCACACATCTAGAAGATGAAAGTAGCAGAGATGAGGATGTTGATGTGGATGTGCGGGTATACAAGGATGGATAAGATTAGGAATGAAGATATTCGAGAGAAGGTGGGCGTGGCCCCCATGGAGGACAAGATGCGGGAAGTAAGACTCAGATGGTTCGGGCACATTCAGAGGAGGAGCACTGATGCACCGGTGAGGAGGTGTGAGCGACTGGCTGTAGTGGGCACGCGGAGAGGTAGAGGACGCCCTAAGAAGTATTGGGGAGAGGTGATCAGAAAAGACATGGCGCGACTTAGGATTACTGAGGACATGGCCCTTGATAGGGAATTATGGAGGTCGANAGGTTGGCCGATAAAGAACTCACACATCTAGAAGATGAAAGTAGCAGAGATGAGGATGTTGATGTGGATGTGCGGGTATACAAGGATGGATAAGATTAGGAATGAAGATATTCGAGAGAAGGTGGGTGTGGCCCCCATGGAGGACAAGATGCGGGAAGTAAGACTCAGATGGTTCGGGCACATTCAGAGGAGGAGCACTGATGCACCGGTGA